TGGTAGAGTGCTTGCCTAACATGCTTGAAGCCCTCTGTTCAATTCCTTAGTACCACATACACAGAAAAAGCCAAAAGTGGCGCTGTGGCTCAAGTGGTAGAGTGCTAGCCTTGAGCAAAAGAAGCTCAGAAACAGTGCCCAGGCCCTGAGTAAAAGCCCCAGGACCAGCAAAAAAGATAGACAGTAGCTGGGCACTGGTGTTTCATGCCTGTAATCCTAGCTACTCAGGAGGCTGAGGTCTGAGAATCCCAGTTCAAAGCCAGCCTGGGCAAGGAAAGTCCATGAGACTCATATCCAATTAACCACCAGAAAACCAGAAGTGGCACTGGGACTCAAGTACTAGAGTTCTGGCCTTGATCTGAAGATCTCAGAGACAGCATACATGCCCAGATTTCAAATCCCATGACTACCAAGAGAGAGAGGAGAGAAAGAAGAAAGGGGGGGGTGTAGTGGCTTTATGACATCTAATTAATACGATGCAAAACACACATTAAATCAAGGTAAAGTAATACTTCGTTTTATACCATGGAGAACCAATTGCAGATTTGGACTCTTAGATTCTTCTTAGTTTTCGAGTACTACAGTGTCAATAACACATCAGTAGAGAAGTTTGAAAAGCCTTTAGTGAATAAGGTGGGACAATTTATAACTACATGTCAACTTTCAGCTAAATAAATTTAAGCAGTGTTGGCCAGGAGGCGGTGGCTTACACCTATACTCCTAGCTACTCAGGAGGCTGGGATTTGAGGAATATAGTTCAAAGCCAGCATGGGCAGGAAAGTCTGTGAGACTCTTTATCTCCAATTAACCACCAAAAATCCAGTAGTAGAGCTATGGCTCAAATGGAAGAGCATTAACCTTGAATAGAAATAGCTCAGGGGCAGTGCCTAGGTCATGAATTCAAGCCCAGGGACTGGCACAAGGAAACAAGGTGTATTATCCAATGGAAAATTAAACCATACAATATAACCTGTTTTTATAATTAGAATTACCACTTCCTCTAGCCATTTTTGTAACTAGAATACCACTTCCTCTAGCCAGTTTTTCCACCTCCACCCTGATTGTAGCCTATTGTAATGTTATGTTATGAAATATAGGTTTTCCTTTCATGAATTCATCTGCCAAGGTCGAATAAAATAGACAATGGATAATTCAATAAGTATGGCTTATAAACAGATGGATTAAAAAGGTTCATCAAAAAAATTCATCTCAAAGGTATTATACCCATTTGTTTTAGACTAAAAGCAAATATGTTGCTAGACACTGGTGTCTCATGCCTGTAATCCTAGCTACTCAGGAGGTTGAGATCTGAGATAACAATTTGAAGCTGGCCTGCTCAGCCAAGTTCATGAGGCATTTATCTCCAATAAACTACTAAAAATGTCAGAAATTAAGGGGTACCAGTGGCTTATGCCTGTAATCCTAGCTACTCAATAGGCTGAGGTCTGAGGATTGTGGTTCAAAGGCAGCTTGAGCAGGAAAGAGAGATAAGACAATAAGACTGTGTGACTCATCTCTAATAAACTACCAACAAAGCTAGAAGAATTGTGGCTAAAGTGGTAGAACACTAGTCTTGAGCAAAAATGGTAAGGGACAGAGCCTAGGCCTTGAGTTCAAGCCTCAGGACTAGCACATACACACACACACACACACACACACACACACACACAC